TATTCCAGCTTTTAGATCAAAGAGCAGTCCTCTAGGGAGTTTAACCCCCTCATAAACCATCATCATCATAATGGGCAAAGTAATCTTGATGATTCCTGAATACATGTTCCCCTCTATTTCTTCCACTTAGTGTCCAGTAGGGGAGGGCGATATGGCTGAAAAATAACATCTAAATTTCTTTAGTCATCTTGGACGATTATGATTTTAATCTATTTTAATTGAAGTATTAAAACCTACATGCATGTATTTAAAAATAGGTTTATTTTATTCAAAAATATATTGTGCATAATAACAAATATTTAGCTAACAATAAACGTATTGTAAATAAAATGTAAACTTAAATATTTGTAACATAAATCTTAACACCAACGTCGTTCACCCAACAATAATTGTACTGATTTTTTATCAGTAAAAAATGTACACCTATATATTCAGTACAAGAGCAAGAAAAAAAGAGTTTCACTTGCGGAAATGTGCAATTTAACAAACAGTCAATAACTTGTATTTTTCGTCTGGGAGGTAGGTGGTTTGTAAGCAGCAGCCATTGATGTCCCAATTCATGTCGATACAATGCACAGTTAAACTCGTATGTCTAAAAAGATCGACTGGACCAAAGGTCTGTAGTAGTTGCAAATTACAAAGCATACTCTAACTTTTCGCAGAGCGTTTGTTGTGTTTCGATCTACAGTTTTGGTAGCACAACCCCCACAAAGTATTTGCTACTCGGCGGGTCATATTTTTGATCACACACTTTAAGCGCGTGAAGGAAGCCAGACTTCTCTACTATGTAAATGGGTACAATGTCCATCCCAATATGAACAGCTACAGCGTTGGTCATCTGCTTCCACCGCACACTACACCTGTCTTATGGCACCGCTTTAGAAAATGAGGCAGCCAGTGTTTGGTGTCTTTTCTTGTCTTGTGGTGTTTATCTTTGCCCGTGCCACTAACGTTGAACTCCTGAAGCTGCGAGCGCTGCTCCCATTCTGTGGGGTTCCTTTGCTGGAGATACAACTTAGTTGCACACGACTGTAGGCTGCACCAATCAGCCTTGTCAAAGCCAAACCACTTTCAAATAATCGACGAAACACAGGTCCCTTTTCTCTGTACCAAATCTTCAGATTGATTAGCGGCCATGGCGTGAGTAAACAGTGCAGCATGCTGTCGGGCAGAAGGAAGAAATAGGCGGCAAAAGCAAATGCGCAAGTAAAAAATGCAGAAGAAGAGACTTCCTCAATTTTACGATTGAGCAAAATTTCAAATTGTGGACTTTTAAAAACATGAATCAATCAAATTAATTCCCAGGCTTTGTGTCCAGCATACTTAAAGCATTTATAACGCACCATTATGCAAGGTGTTAATAGCATTCAGTGCGAATTCCTCACACCTTGTTACATTTATATATTGAACTGGGACAACTCACCACATTGGTTATTAGCGAGAGGAATGTAATGATGCATACAAGTGTTTAATTTAAGCTGCCTCCCAAATGTGGTTACCATATATAGATTGGTTAGAGATGCCGTCAGGGACCGTACATTGTTTACGTGAAGTTATTTATTTTTATAGATCACCTTATTAGGATTGATTGTAGTGTACATAAGTTTCAGGCCCCATTTTGTGTTTACAGAAGCGCTCTAAATGAGACCCTTGGCATTGCTTATGGCAAGGGTCCTGAGTATCCTGAGTAAGTATAGGTATTAGGAAAACATTGTAACTTCTTAGGTATTAGGAGAAATGTTGTCAGTTCTAAGGAAAAATAGCTGTCAATCTACAGGGAAAATTATGTCAGTCCTTAAGAAAAAAAGTTTTGAATTCTCATGTATTAGGAATAGGGATGCACGATATAATCGGCCCCCTATCGGTATCGGCCTGTATCGGCCTTAAAACTGAATATCGGACATCGGCCACCCCACCGATATTTAACCCGATATTTGATCAGCTTCTGAGTTCCTAAAGTAAAAAAAAAAATAAATACTACTTCTTCTTCTTCTTCTTCCTCAAAAACTTATTTTTTTACAGACTTAAAAACTTCTAAAGACGAGGGAAAAAATATCGATACATTAAGATATCACAATATCTTCATATGCTGATATATTGTCATTTAAAAACACCATATCAATCTCTTTTACTAATGAAATATTGCTATATGTCATCGTTATGCTACGAAATCCCCCGAAAATTCACGAAATTTTGCCATATTTTTATATGTTGATATATTGACGCGGCATCGATCTATTTTACTAACAAAATCTCATAAGAATTTGCAAAATATCACGAGAGTTTGTAACAGAACGATGAAATTTCACGAGATTTAGAAAGTAAAATAGATCGATACCGCGTTTTTAAAAATGAATTTGATATCAGCATATGAAAATATATTTGAGTATATTATTTTTCAAAGTGTCAGAAATGGATAACAAAACTGCTATTTTCAATGACTACTTATTTCTCTCCAGCTTTAACATCGGTATCGATATCGGTTATCGGCTACAGGAGTTTTAAAATATCGGCATATCGGATATCGGCCAAAATCCCAATATCGTGCATCCCTAATTAGGAATAATGTTTTCAGTTATCATGAAAAAAGTTGTCTGTCTTTAGTCAAACCGTTATCAGTTCTTAGCTATCAGAAAATGTTGGAGCTCTTTTTTAAAATGCAGAAACAATGTTACCTACTGGGCAGATATTCGAGTTTAACAAAAAAACATTTTAGTTTAACAAAAAAACTTCAATGTTTATTTTGGGTCTTATAAAACAAACTTTTAAAAACTTATTAACTAGGTTTTGGCATCGTAATCCACAATATCTGTTTGTGCTTACCAAATTTGCTTTGACCCACAATGAATCATGGGAAATGGAGGATCACATAGGATACTCCCGATCCCACGCTGCAGCCTCCTGATTTCTTTGCTCCAGCGTCAGGTATCCTACATGATCCTCCATTAACCATGAGACATTGCGGGTCAACGCAGATTGGTCAGCTCACACACAAATGGTGGACAACGGCACCAAATATTGTAGTTAAAAAATCTGTATATTTCAGACTGACAACCATTTTCAAGAGAACTGACAACTGCTTACCTGTGAAATGAGGGTGTCCTAAAATGTACACTGTACAGCACATCTATAAAGACATGGAGGCACTGGCCTAGCAGTGTCGCTGTCTTCTTTAAGGCAAGAACTGATGAAGGGTGAAAGAATGAGCCAGTCTTTCATCAAGAGGATGAAAAAGAGTACATGTGGTTGGTCAAGGTAGTATCCCCTTCATTGGCTTCATGCAGAGGTGAAACATGATGATTATACTTATGTCAAGGGAAAGGAAGATACAAAATCTCAGGTGGCAATTAGTCCATTACTTAGTTTTACATCCTCTGTGTTTTCAAATAAGTTTCCACTTCTGCTGCCATTACAAGCCAGCATTTACTGGACTTCTCAGAGTTGTCATAGTGCTGGGTGAGGAATGCTGTTTATAGTCCCCCAACTCTTTGAATTCAACATACTGGGTTTTTTTTTTTTTTTTTTTTTTTTTTTTTTACAGCTTTTCGTCAAAGCTTGCTTTGGCAGGTCTGCCGACATAATCTGGATTCTTGGCTTAGGCTGGTTGTGTAGTAAAAAACACAACTATTTACACTGATCTTTAAGGTTGGATAGATATGTTTGCCAAATTTTTGCATGGTAGGGAAACCTTTTCGGTTGTAGTTGTGCGAACTATGAAATATGCAGCAGAAGGTAAAGATTAACTTATGTCTTACATGTATAAATTGACGTTGAACTGTCGATTACCTTCTTGTCCTATCACACGTCAGCCATGTTGAACTGGTGGGTAAGTTCCAATACAAACATCCTTTCCAGTGACATATTTTTTATTGTTATTGTTGGAATTTAATATAGCTGTAAGCAAATTATGTTGCATTAGGTGTAGAGCAATCTGTTAGTTTTGAATGCAACCTTCAGGTAACTCATTCCTGACTTTGGGAACTAAGCCATAGGTCTTTATCTACTTCCCATCGGTTGGTTTTGCGTAAAGGCCATCTCAGTAAGACTCCTTAAAAACACGGTTAAGTGTTCAGACATATAAAAAATATCTGTTTGCAGCTCAACAGCAAACAGGTGTATCCACACTTCATATCTGAAAGGATTCATAGTTGCAGTGAATAATATGATCTTAGGCAGTGTGGTTTAGGTCTTTTTTTTTCATAGCCTTCAACCTGATTTGCGATATTTTCAGATTAGTCTCTCACTCTGCAGGCAAAGTCTTGGAAACCTAAATATATGTTAGTATTACCTTGCTTTACATTTATAGCTATATTGGTTGCTTGAATGCCTTTAAATACTTGTTAAAGTTTCCCTTATAAAACAGTTCACTAATGCTCGGCCTAAAGAGTTTAACTCCAGTCTGAGTCTAGTCTTAAAGGGCTGTTGTCATTCAGATGTATGCATCTCAGCTCCAATGCACCTGAATCACTTTGCTGCATTTCCTGTTCAGCAGGTGATAAGGTCCATGGGGAAGCCTTGGGAAGGAGCTAGATATTGTATACCAGATTGATAAACCAGGGAGAAATGCGAATTATAATCATAATAATAATCAATCAAGTTGTTCAGCCCAATCGGTAGGATCCAGACTTTCTCATCAACAGGATGACTGATCTCTTTGTTTGTCTTGTTTTATTTAACTTTGTGCAAATATTTTTGTTTTTCTAGCTGTCAATTCAACTACCTTACAGTCTAGGATAATTTCAGGTTCGATTTTTTTAAAGTCTGATTAATGCACTTTCACATTTCAGGTCAGATGGGATTATTAAAATTGTTTTGATTTATTTTTTATGCACTTTCTGACAGTTTTGTTGTGTATTGAGCAATTATACATAGGACCCTGGTCTTTTAATCTGAAAAGGTATCAGATGTAGACTTTAAAACAGTAGGAACTCTAAAAGTTGAAAAATATACTTGAAAACTTTTTAGATTTTTAAAAATCACATCTTGTTCTCTCGATGTAGGTTGTTTGACGTTTGCACTGTCTCTCGGACTGATCGGGAAACCAAGCTAACCCTGGTGTTTGAGCATGTGGATCAGGATCTGACAACATACCTGGAGAAGGCTCCCGACCCCGGGGTTCCACCTGAGACCATTAAGGTACACGAAAGTCTATTCACCCCTTTCTGAAATTAAAATTTGTGACATTTATGAATTTGCCTGCCAAAACCCAAACAAAAGATATATTTATGATGATAACCATTTTAAAAATGTTCCTGCACTGTTACTATAAGAGCAGCTTTGGGCTAATGCCCTGTGGCTTCAGCTCTGGTTGAACACAGCTATATTTTTTGGGCTCAAGAGTTTTCTCAACCAAAGTCAGAGCAGACGCAAAGCACTTCCTTTAACATCAGAGGAGCCAGTGTGTTTGGAAGGCAAGCACATGTGGCAGATGGGCTCCAAATTAGAGGCTCCCTTCAGTCCCTATTTCAACCCTACCCTCTGACTTTACTTACAGATGGAGGCACAGAGTATTCATAAAAACAGATTCTTCTGTGCTGAAAGACAAGGTTACTAAATGCTGTCAGCTGCAAATTGACTTCCTATCAGTTGTTTTATTGAGTCCAATAGTGAATCCTCATTTTTTATTTAGAAATATTCAAGAGGTCTCAATTTACCCTCTGTTCAATGGTCGGAAGTTAGAAAGTCTTCATCTTTTTTCTCCATTACCAGCTTCCTTTATTTGGACCTCTTGGGCAAAATTCCCCTTTTTCCTTTTAAAAAACTTCTTTATCGGGTTTCCTCCCCCAAGGTCTGAAGATGCCTTCCAAACAATATTTGAAATTAATATTATTAAAAAAAAGAAGTGTGAAGTGTCAGATTTAAATTGGAGATGTTGTGACAGTATTGCAAGCGCTGATTTTGTCTGGAGGGCTGGGTTTATGTGAGTGTTTTCTTCCATTGAAGGATGTTGTTAAAGTGTAAATAATTCAGGTAGATTACGCCTGAGAGGCTCAAACTGAAGTTGATACAGGTACAGATCATACTAACCCACAAATATTGCACCACACCACTATAGGAGTAAAGTGCTTTAGAACTTTATAAAACAGTGAAAAATTAGCTACTTTTAGTCCAGGTAAGAGAACTCCTTTTTTATTTATTTAGATTTTTTGTCTTGAATGTGTCTCAAAGTTCTTTTTGCTGTTGTATTTTTAAATAAATAACTTGTGTACCGCATCACCTAAGTGTTTATTGCCATTGCACACTTACCATGTAACATTCACAAATGTATGCATTTTATTCAGATTGTATGTGATTAAACCCCCCAATGGAATGGCACAACATTGTAAAGAAGAAAGAAGTTTTCAGCTGTTCTGTTTTTGTTTTTTTTTTGTTCATTTTTAAAGAGTGAGCAAACCATATGAAAGCAAACTGTAAAACACTTTACAGCTGTAGCTACAGTAAATGGTGGTTCTATTAAGTATTCACTCAGAAGGTAAATTCAGAAATATATAAAACTTTTATTATTTACTGCAAAAATATTGAAAACTGTATAAAGAACGACAATTGTTCCGATTAACAATTGTCTACAACACTGTGTCTGTCTTTTAGATCCTTCCCAGTTTTGAACTTGTCTTCTGCAAGCCATTATAAACCCTTATGGTTTCAACACAAAAGCTCTTTTTTTTTAGAAGTAGACCTTTTTGAGACACTGGTGACAGTAATAGGATTAACAATGACATTCTACTGAAGACTTATTGTCTGGGATGTGGTCTCTAGGAACTGTATCTCATATAGTTAATTGAATACGTTTTAAGTCTAAAGCATCTTCATTAACATTGTAGATGTAAAAGTCACATAAAACCTTTGTCCAAAACAATGTTAGTTTGATCAATAATTTCTGTGTTTTTGCATCAGCCAAAACTATAGGCTGACGTGCTTATAGTTGCTTTGTCACAGTCAGGTCAGAGATAAAAACAAACTGTGAAAACTTCTACTTAGAAGGACTTGGATAAGAGTTAACACTGTTATGCCTCAAGAACAGAATCAGATCTTTACAACACAACCAACCACAACCAAAGAGGAAAGGAAGAAATAAAGAAGTTTCAATCCGGCCTATTTTCTTAATTCCATCTTTCCAGCTCCTTGCTTAGTTTTTTCACTTTTGCAAGGATAAAAAACATAACATGTGCAATAAGATATCTTTGAGGAGTTCAAGAGATGTATTATGGGAACCAAGCTCTAGTCAGAAACCTTGTCTTCCAGGATGAAGACTCATTAGCACCCTCCTCCTTGTGCATCATCCGTTTATCTGAGCTTTTAAGAAGACAAAAGGACAAGAAGTGTCGCCACATCATAGACACAGTCCTGTTATTTCTAGGGGAGTGGACACTGCACACTGACCTGAAAGTGACCCCATTGACCCTGTACTCCCCTCCCAAACAGCGTTAGTTGCACTTGGCTACACCATCTCACAGCAAACTGCTGACTCGCTCATTTGATATGTTTTAGTGCTAAAAAAATGAACATGTTATTAGCCAAACCTGCTGAGCCAAAGACCTTAAACGGAAAAGAACAGCCACACTTTTCCTCAGAAGCATCTATGGTCCACAAGAGACACCCCCACATCAGCCCAGTTTGTCCACTTCAGCACCCCCCATCCTCCACCACCCACTCAGACTCAAGACCCACCACATGGTCATTGATGAAAGAGGCCCTCCTCCAGGAATCAAATGAGCTGGAAGGACATCAAGCAGCCGGGTCGCCCCAGCCTCTGCTCTCCTCAGCCGGGCCGGCGCTTGGGTCTCGCCCACCCTCCTCAGTCACTGTCGTCCAACCTTCCACAACTACATTCTGTGGGCCCGTGAAGGGGGAGGTTAATGAAGCATGGGCAGGGAATTACACTAACGTTAGCCGGCAGATGTCCTATATTGTGTCAAACTACAATAAACAATATGGCTGCCTCTGGTACATTTGCATTAAAAAAGCGGTGGACCTCAGAAAGCCATGTTTTGACTGATGCTGGCTGTGGACTGACTGTTATGGGATTTTTAATTTTTTTTTATGTTGTTTGTGTCAGAAGTCGCCTTTTTTCGTTTCCCAATGACCAAGTTTTAGGCTCTTCATGAAACTTTTGCTTGTTCATTTTGCATCAGAACTAAACTTTAGGTGGAGCAGATATTTCTGTACTTTTTAACAATGCTGTTAGTTGTACCATCACAAACACAGTAAAAAAAAAATCAGGGCTTTGCTGTACTTTGTTCAGATTTTACATTGACAGAGCAATACAATTAAGACAAAATGGTATAGTGAGAGAAAATATATTAGTCTAAATACTTTCAGGCATTTTTACCCAATTTAATTTACAACCATCTGTTTTCTGATGTCACCTAATTAGTCAGTTCTATTCAACTTGGTGCCTTTTAATGTTAAGAAATTACTCTGGGATAGCATCAGAAATCCACAGGTCCTGTTGTGGAGTATGTCATATTGACATTTTATTAGTTGTGCATACATAGATATAGCTTTTTAAGGAAGATTTACAAAAAAAAAGTAATAAATAAATCCTATTAGCAGTTTGCTACAGGCTATGTAGAGTACATAGGAATTATGGTGGGGAAAATGAGGCTCTGATCACTCTTGAACAAGTAATAACTGTTTAAACTGCTCTGCAAATTAAGGCAAATTAACTTATTGTGATCTCTCCCTGTAAAACACAGTGGTGGCAGCATCATGGTGAGTGTATTCTTCACCAGGTAAAGGGAAGCTGATGACAGCTGGCAGGAAGATCAATGGAGTTAAATAAAGAGCAATGATGGAAGAAAACTGTTTAGACATGGGTTTTGATTTTGGTCAGTTCTCTACAATTTTACCTTCCAAATCAATATTCCAAATAAAATGCAAAAACTTTGTGGTTGAGATGTGGCAATGTGGAAACGAAGGAGGACACAAATGCGTTTGCAAGCCATTGTGACTCTATAGAGAAGTGTTGGGAGACAAGGATCGCTAACATTTAGGAATCACACATGTTAGATAATTAGTGTTTACAAGGAAATGCTGTTGAAAGGAAGCACGGTGAAATGACTATTTAAAGGAGAGAGGAACTGATGGGTGGGAGAATGCTATTGTGTCAGCCCCCCATGACACACTCATACACAAACACCCATGCACTCAAAATGACCAACTGCCTGCCTGTCCTTCAGCCCTGTCTGTCTACTGCCCTTCTCTGTGGGTCATGGCTGGATGGAGATGCAGAAAGGAAGGTCTGTTTTTGCATCCTGTTCTTGGTCAGGGGGGCACTGTCATGCACACGCTTGGACACAGGCCTGTGCCCTTCTCATACATGCACAGACAAAACACAGATAGTATATTTTCAACAAAAAAAAGGGGGACATTCTGTTTGTTTGTGTATAGCAACACATCACTCATCTCATCCAGAGTTATGGGGTGTGACCAGAACAGCAGCCAGCCCAGCACCATTTGCAGATCATTTCTGCTTGAGTGCACAGACCCCTTTCCTTTGACTCGTACACCAGCTGGTGGGCTACTGAATAGAGCTGTGGGCTCAGGTCCACCTCACTTGTGGGGTCTTGGTGAAGAGCCTTGAGATAGTAGGGGTGCACGTCTGGAGCATAAATGCGTCTCTAGAAGGCAGTAGATAGATACATGCAGAGGGTAGGAGATCAGTTTCCCTCTTTGCTTTGTCAAAACTACCTGCAATAACTTATTTGTTTATAGGTGTTGGACCTGTTTTAAAGTATTCCGGTTTGAAAAGGACAAGTCTGAGCTGGTTTCGACCCTGTGCTTTCGTGTTCACAACAATTAACTCTGAAAGTTTGTCATAAATGTGGTGCCTATGCTTCAGCCGTTTGAGGTCAGCTTTTGGGCAATATAAAGAAAAAAGCACCAATTAACTAAAGAAGGACAGCTGCTAAGTAACAGAGATCTGTTCTTGCACAGAGCAGGGGCCTCTTTCTGAAGCTGGTGTGTGTCTGTGTGTGTGTCAGTTATCAAACATCTGCCACAGTCGATGAGAAAAGACACAGGCTTCTTCATGTTAACTCTCTCACCACCAAAACGCCTTAGCCTTTATTTTGAAGGTCACATTTCACTTTGTTGTCTTTTAGGCCTTTTAAGTTGAATGGTTTGCTACACTATAGAAATAAAATTCCTTCAGATAGAGGTTTTTGTAAACACCTGTTCCTTGCAATTCATTTGAACGGCTCACAGTGAATCACTGAAATGGGGAAATAAAGAATATATATATTGTACAACTCAAAAACAAACAGTGGGGGCTGTACACCTTAGAAACAAACTCATATATTGGTTATGAATCTTATAATTGCCAGAACAGTACATGATTTCTATAGTAACATCATATTGTCAGATCTAAAATGTGAGAAAAATCTCGACTTTTGGTAATTCATGATTAAATGAAAGATGCAAGTATCCAAATTGGATAGTCTAAGGTTTTTCACTACCCCACCTCTAAATCCAATATGGCTGCCATGCATCTTAAACAGAGAGAATTTCAGAGTATGGCTTAGTCGAATACATTAAACCATTAAGCACTCTTTCGCCAAAAGGGTAGTGCTCCAGCAGTTGACCATAAGTTCTGTTCAAAAGCTGGCAGAAAGGAGGGAGATAGGAAAAAGAAGCTGTTTGCTTCCTATCATGGTTCCTTTAAATCGGAGGCCTTAAGGCTGATTTATACTTAGAAACTAGGCCATCTGCATAGGTGTCACGTTGAATGCAGAGACGTCCCCGCACCCTCCGCAGACACTCTGCTGCACCTCTGCCAAATTGTAGGTGACTGCAGACACTGCCGAAGACAGGGCTCTGATTGGTCAATTCTACATCCGATCTACACCATGCGTCTCCTGTTTGGTACCTTACCGGCTTGTTTTGTTTTTATGACCGCAATTGCAGGAAAACCTCGTCCACTGCACGGTGCCTTCGCCATCTTTGTCATTAGTCGCTCCTGTCAGGTAGACAGCCAATGGCGACAGCAGGCCGCTGTTATTGCAAATCCCATAATGCTTTGCGAGGAAAGCTCTCCCCCCAAAGCATTCTTGGATATATCCGCCTCTTCTGAAGCCTTTCTTTTCTTCTCATACACTTCGTAGACACTTTTTCTCTTACAACCTTGGGCCATTTTCAAAGAACCGCAGTGAGAAATGTGAGCTTCAATGACTGTCTGAAACCGTAGCTCACCACACATATATACGGCTGAAAGTGCGCATGCACTGAAAAATATAGCTAACGGGACGAGCACGTAGGACAGCCTTACGTAAACTTACCACCAAAATGATTGACCATTAGGAGGACCACTTATTTAGATGATCCACGCCAAAATAAAAGATCGTCCTCTGTACCTTTAAAACTTGAAAACAGTTGAGTTGGATTTGTGGGGAGTTTTTTTTTTTCCCTGTTCGTTTTGAGGATATTCTGATAAAGTAAAAATGTATATTCTTGTTTAATTAATTTTATTGGAGGTTTAGTTTTGTCCTTTATATCACAGTTTATTTCTCACATTTTTCCAATAAAATTGATGCTGTGCCACTCTTTGAGGACTATGCTATTAGATAATGTAAATTTTTTATTTTCTTTTTATTTAGGTATCTCCTTTTCCAGGTCTCTTTGTAAGATTTATACCAATCCTTTCTCTTTGCTTCTTCCATTTTGTTACATTTCAGGATATGATGTACCAGCTGCTTCAGGGGCTAGACTTCCTGCATTCACACCGTGTCGTTCACCGCGACCTAAAACCCCAGAATATTCTCGTGACCAGCGATGGTCAGATCAAACTGGCAGACTTTGGGTTAGCCCGCATCTACAGCTTCCAGATGGCGCTCACATCGGTGGTGAGTTTCCTCATTTGTATATGTGATTAAACCAAATGTAAGTGTGTGGTTTTACTTGTTGGGGCTATGAAATCAGGATGTCTTTGCACTGCTGGCCTGGTCCAGTGATCGGTAAGTGAGAACTATCTGAACAAGGTGATGCTGTTGCAACAGTTTGATTTAGAGGGCAGTACTGCTCCAACATAGAGCTGTTCAAGAAGAAAAAAAAAGGAATGTCCGTGTTTCCTCGGGTGATCAGAACCAAAAATCAGATCTTTTAGCCCTCTTCACAACAAACACTATAGAATAGGGCTAAAACCATTATTCAGATAACTTGATGATTGAAACATACGTCCACTCACTTGGTAAGTCATTACCTAGAGCAGTGTGTCCCAACCTTTTTGGACTTGTGTACATCTTTGGGCATTTTGTCTTACCATGAGTCAAAATTATTCATGACTGCCCAAATGTGCAACGTACAATAACTAATTAAAAAATGAGTGTTTTATTTAATCTTTTTACTTTTAATTTTTTTTTTTCATTTTATTTCCATCTCATATAAAAAAAATGACATAAATATGTATCAAAATAAATACAAAATAAAATCATACTATAAATCTGCTTTTCTCCTCTGAGTAACTCCCCTATAATCACACTTATACTTGAGGAAGTGGGAACAAAATACTGAACACAAATTATAATCAGACTCACTCCATATGTTTTACTTTTTTTCGAACATTCATGACACCTGAGCTTGCTTTGATGAGCCAAGGTCCTGTACCCCTTGCAATGCACTCATGGACCACTAGGCGTACAAATACTGGGAATCACATACAGTAATGGCATACAGTCTCTAAAACATACAATTTGCTAAAAGAATAACCTACTTAAAGCTGTAATGAAGACAAAGCTCTACAGATATAAACTAAAAACTTTTATATACATAGAATATCTTTTTCAATTCAACTTTAAATTGTTTCTTTATTCATATATTTACATAATTGAACATATATTTTTAAGGTTTTGCCAGTTGCAATTGCATTAGCAAATTTAATACTAATATTTTTTTCTTTATTTCAAATGTTAGTTTGTTTAGAAATTTTGATCTAAAAAAATATCTCTTTTTAGATTCATTGATTCATTTAGAAAATAACTGATAGATGAACTGATTACTAAAGTACTTGATAGGTGTAGTCTTATTACAGAGCTATGCAGAATTTGAGGAGTTCTGGGGTCTCTGTTTCTACTGTCATGATCGCAGCCCCGGTAGCTGGTCTGATTACTCACTTCGTTCACTTGCCGTTCCCTCCCCGCTCCCTAATTATCACTCATCTTATTCACCTGCTCCCTCTCCAATATATACGGGTTGGCCCAGCTATCGGGGCCAGCTTATTATTCTTATATTTTTAGTTTATTCGTGTTTGTTCGTTTCTTGTCAGTTATTCATGTTTGTTTGGTGAGTTTTAGTTAAGTCCCCGGTTTATGTTTCCATCCTCGGAGGCCAGTGGATTGAGAGGGTTTGGTGTTTGTCTCCTGTCTTCTGATCGTGTCCCGGCTCTTCTCCACTGAGAACTCGGGATTTTGGCTCGGCGTGCCAAATTAATGACGGCTACTTCATTATTTGATTCTCCCAGAGCACCCCAAAATATATTGGAACTCTTTAGTCTTCCACTCCCTCTCTTGCTTGTTTTTTTCTTTTTTCTTTTTTTGCCTCTACTCTTACATCCCTTCCCATTCTGCTTTTGGCATGATGCAACCCTTTGCACATTCACACTGCTGGCAAAGTGCTCCAGGGTTCAAATGAACTGCCTAGTCGAGCATTTAGAACCACGTCAGCAGTGTTGTGCCTGAACGCGTTTATTGAACGAAAGTTCATGAACTCGTTCATATTTTGGGCGAACGTGAACTGAACGTACTGTATTACTGCCTGATGAACGTTATTGTGAACTCGTTCATTCTGGCGTCTGTGAACGGCACGCTCTCTCAGTTCAACTCCGTTCAATAGGTTGCCAGATTTCTATAAAGCCCTCCAGGCGAAACCCCGGCTAAATCACACCGTAAACAGGCCTTAATATGTAGCGGGAAAAACACCCAATCTGGCAACAGCAGCTACCAGCGTCGTAGCCTACAGCCGCGTGCGTCATCAAAACAAAATGCAGCGTGGAAGCCACAGCAGCGTGGAGGCGACTTAAAACAGCTTTATGACCAGGTGGTCGGTGAGGATGATGGCAACAAGTTTGCCCGCCGGCTTTCAGTAAAAAAATCCGCACTTCAGTAACCTTAAATTCCTACCTCAGCCTGGTCCCTCAGTTTGTGTTAGTAAAATCTACTTGAGCGGAGGTCTTCAACAGGGGATCCGCGACCCCTAGGGGGTCTACGGAGGTACTGCATGAGGGTCTGCATGGTTAGTTGATATTTTTATATTCCCCCCCTGCATTTTTTCCCCCACTAATTGAAATGTCTTTAAATACTCATTAACATGAAATCAACACACTGTAGTAAACAGATAAATGGAGGCAGAAGATGTCTTTCAGTCATCAATGCTCACATTCAGCGACACACAGGAGCTCTTTCAAGCTGGGCACCGTTTCCTTCACAACACCTGTCCCATCAACCAGGAATCAGAATCAGAAAAACTTTAATAATCCCAGGGAGAAATTAATTTCTTTACATTACTCCATCTGTAATAGAGTGACTATAGGACACAATTTCATACAATATATATAAATACGGGGTCCCCGCTCCATCTCGCCATCAGTTTGGGGGTCCTTGGTCTGGAAAAGAAGACCCCTGTTCTTGAGGGTTTTACTATCCATGTAACTTGTTTGTTAAACCTGCCTGGTATAATTTTCCAGGATTCCAGTATTCCTTTTTAGTATGTATTGAAATGGAATTTGAAATGGAAAAAAATATAAAAATAAAAAAAAACATTTGCACCTTAAAGACTACTTTCCTATTTTTCTTTTAATAATTACTCATAAAAAAGACCATTAAAGCAGCACATTTTTCCTGATGTTTTTGAGAATATACTGTAGGGTGAAAGCTGCAGCTGCTACTAGTGTGAAGTGAATGGACAGCAACAAAGCATTAAAGCAACAATGGGGAAATGCTGTCCCCTCAATGCTAATGTAAACCCTGGTTGGATAAGGATTCAAAACTGGATATGAAGATGAAATCTGATGCACAGTTTCAGTGTTACAACTGATAAAATTATTGCTGTCTGTGGTTCTACAGTAGGCTATGGTGTAATTGAGCAATATATGAAAAAAAAAAAAAAAAAGAACTATGAACTAGTTCATTTTTTGGAATTGTGAACTATGAACTGAACTAGTTCATTTTAAAATGTGTGAACTGAACTTTGAACTAGTTCACGTAGAAAGAGAACTTTCCCAACACTGCACGTCAGGGTGCAATTCTCTGAATACATACAAATACTATAGATGCCAAGTCCTGCCAACCTGACTCTACGGTCGCAAGAACTTTTCATGTAATAAATAGCTCCAAAATGAGATTAGTTTTTGACACCATAGTGTTCAATTAATCACTCTCTAATTTCTGATTTCGTATTCTTAAACTGTACAATTGAAAAAGAAAAAAACATACCTTCTAAAAAGTAGTTTTGATAAAGCAAACAAATGCTGTGTTGCACCTACAGTATCTCCATGTAAGTGAAAAATGGTCTAATTGTTCTGGATGGCCCTTCCAGGGTATCAGAGAACAGCTTAGGAGAACTTGACTGGATTTCTCTGTGTAAAGTGAGAGTGAGAGCTTCCTCCTCCCTCTCTTTGTGGCATGTTTCAGGAATCCCTCGATGGCTGTTGCAAAAAGGGATGGGACAGACGATAGAGACAAACACCCCTCCCTTCCCTTTGTCGGCACTTTGATGTCTAACTGTTGCACTCGAGGCTCTGATGGGCTGATAATATAGACAAGGACGCTGAAAAGAGTCCCAGGAAGAACTTGGAAAGAAGAGATGAGACTTTAAAGATCAGTTACGCCAGAAATGGTGGTCAGATGAATGAATAAATGCATTTCATAACATACATTAAAATTACAATTTAACACATACAATATATATACATACAACATACTTATGTATTAATAATTAACAATATATATGATTTTATTATATGCATGATTTAGTGCTTATGCTTGAAAAGGGGTTTAAAGAAATGAAAATGAATCATTCTCTCTTCTCCTTCCTTTAGTCCTTAACACCAGCAATCTTCTCAAGTCCTACTTTGCACATGAGTCCATTAAGTCACTAGACTAATCTATGTACATATAAACATTCATAAACATTCCTTTACACACATCTTCATACAGTATATCCAAACATTTAAATTTGTTTTTCCAAATACAATTATAGTGTTTATGTCTAAAGAAAGACTTTTTTTAAATGTTCTTATTTCTACAAAAAGAAAAACCTCACCTCATGCATCAGATTTTGTCGAAGGATTTTATAAGGATGATTCTTTTTAGAATTTATATTTAGGCTTTTACTGGGCCATTTGAACCCTGTTTAGGCTTTCTGCCTAGCTTGAACAGTTTCAAATCTATAACAGCTTTTGGTATATTTTCTTTTAGATTTGCATTGACATAATTCTTGGACTTTATCTTGCCCTGCTGTCAGGAAATACAAAAAAAAAAGCTTAAACAAACAATATTTAAATTAAGCAGATAAAATGCATGTGTTTTCTTAGGTTATTAATATGGTATATATAGGTCTATCATTTCCAGTATGTCAGGGATTTGACTATTTTGTATTATATGACTATTCTAGACCTAAAACCTGCTGCACTTTGAGCAATGGCTGTGTCTACAAACATGAGTATCTAAAATAATATTATATGTACAGGATAAGATTAAACCTTGTACTGAAAGACAATTATTTGTCATTGAACGTAATCCATTTTAATGTCGGGGAAATCTTAATTGTTCCAAATCTTACTGTAGAAAAAAAAAAAATCCTCCTTGAATTGCATATTCAGCCCATTCATCCATCCATTTTCAATCACGCC